AAAAAATCTCTTCTTCTACGCACTCTCAAATGCTCAACGTAAAACAACTCATACAGCTCAGGAGATCTTACATCGACTGACATAATTATAGAATACAGTTACAATATCAATAATTATGGGATAGAAAAGTAATCATAATTGTGATATACTTGTGTTGCAGCTAAATCTGTCGTTCCCAACTGGCATTTCCCATTTGCTGAAGCTGCATGCTCAGTAACACGTTATTCCTCCTTTGCCGCAATCTGGCGCCTCAAATCTTTCATTTTCCTGAAGCCCAAGCTCGTCATTCCTGAATTTACCTGTACCGTGCCAAACTATCCAGATGTCAGTGTTTCAATCCCTTGGAGTTCTGTGCCTGCCATAGAAGACTTCTGTTTGACACTAAAGGTACAGATGTTAGTAGCTTTGGGGTAAAGCTACATTTTAGTACTACAAATATGTTTATGTAGTAGATTCTGAACCCCAATAAAAGAGCGTTTATATGCATTCTACGAAAAAACAAGAAAACGTTGCCATTTTTTGACAACATCAGGCCAATTCACACTAATTAAACAATAGAGTGATTCTTTCAAGGAACTATCGGCTGATAGTTGCCCTGCGGAAATTTTAAATAGTGTCTCTCCGCTGATGAACACTACCACGTCACAGGGTCAATTAAAACCAAGAAGAATCAGACAAAATTTATGGGTGTACTATAATGGCTGACAATGTGCGATACCTCAGCCAATCAAATTACATCATTTGCAAAGTATACTAGTAAAGTTCTGACTACTAATTATAGTTATTGTCCAAGCTGTCTTAGTCGTGTAAAATTTCCATACAATATTTCACAAAAGAAAAATACAATATTCCACGGGATATCTTGTAATAACTTTGTCGATAAGTAATGAATGTTATCAATGCCGGACATCTTACTACAGAAAAAAAGTTTTCGCATTTTGAAAATTTATTGCATTGCAGTTCAGTAATAGAACAAGGGATATCCCGTAGAGTAAGTAAAATTAACAAATCGAATGTGGTTTAGCGTGGTCTGCACTCTTATCGACAACGATTCGCGTCATCGCAGTGGTCAAAATGTTGTGGACTCACTCGGCTGCGCCTTGTGAGTCCACAACAAATTTTGACCACTGTGATGACGCGTATCGTTGTCGATAAGAGTACAGACCACGCTAAACCACATTTCGATTTGTTTTTTACCACAATATCAATGTGAAAGAAAATAATTTTTTCAGAGTGCGAGCTGAAAAACGTATGCGTGACACATTAACGCGAGCAGCGTTGTCTGGACTCTTATCGACAACGGCGGATTAGCCAATCAGATTGCGAGATTGGTAGCAATTGTGGTAAAATACGCTACAGTGACAACAGCTATTGGTATGAATGGTTAATGATTACATCATTGCTTCTCGATCTAATTCAAGGTCCAAGAGCCTCCAAGCATTGGCCCCAACAAAGAAGGAATGTTTGTTGGTCCAGTGCTTCACATATCACCTTCACACAATGTTGAACTTTTGGAACCAACAAAAATCAAGATTCCACTTACTTTCTTCAAGGGTAAGAGAGAACTGGTAAATCTGCACTCTGGTGAGTGGAGAATATTGCACTATTCAAGAGAAAAATCACAAGAATGGACTGAAAGTACGGATCAGTTGGTGATGCCGCCAGTTCTTGCAGATGGAATAGTGACATTCCAAGTCAAACATTTCTCTAGGTAAGTACAGGACTGTACCTGATCCCTGTAACTAGTCTTGGATTGCAAGTAATGTTTTATTTATATGTATTCCTCTACTTCATATCGAGTCGAACTAAATATGTGTATACAAAAGCGTCATGAGAACTTCACTGTGTCCGAGAGGACTTAACAGTCATGAAGTGTAAAACCTCTCAGGTGAATAACGGTTTGGGGTTACATTAGATAAACTCTCACCCTGGTCTGTCTAGAACCGTCATATAATCAGACAGCTGAAATAAAACATCTGGCTAAAGCTTACGGAAAGTTCATTTTTCAACTCCTTGTTGCCAGCTGGATGGGTATTCTATAATTCAAAGAATTATTTACTCCTCTTCTCAGGTTTTGGCCGTGGTGGTTAGACAAGGCATTTGATAGTCTATGCAAACATGCTTCTGATCTGTACAAAAGAGCTATGGGACAAAACGCAGGATTTTTGGCTTGCTTGTGTAATGATGTGAAACCTACCGACTTTCTTCTGATTCTGAGCTGTTTTCCAATTCACTTGGGAGATCAAGTGAATAGGCGCATGTCAACATATTGTGTGAATTTTCAAGGCGAGGGAACCTCAGAGAAACCACTCTGTACAAGAGAGCAAGCGTTTGTATCTTTCTCAAAGGCATTTACGCTGCTTCAAAGTGGGAATAAAGAGGATCTCTACGTACGGTATGTGTCTGTTATTACCTTTGCTATCATTTAAAGCTAGTATGAAATAATACATTTTGCATTATGTTCTTTCCATACTGTCCTTCCATCAGTTAGCCTTTCGGACGCCCTATAACGACAACAACACGTCTCACGTGGGGACTTCCAGGAATGCACACCATTTATATGTTACTGCTATTAAGGGCCCAGTGATGTTCGGAAATGAATTTTGCTCCTAGCACATCGTGGCAAAGTGCCTGACTAATAGACGGAAGGTCATTCGCTTGACTTAGGTACTAAATTAACGTAAATACTAGTTTTTTGTATGTAGCACAATAAATGTTCCTTTTACTATCTGAAAACGCCGTTTTGTCATGTAAATGTCGTTGTTACAGATTCATTGGGTGGCCCTGAGGCTCACATAAACAGTTACTTTTAACGGGAATCACCACCCAACCAAGATGAAAGGTCGACTTGCAGTTGTAGGACTAATAGATTTTTATTTCTTTCAACGTTTAAGGTTTCTTGGAGATGCTTCATTTCAGAAAAGTTGGCGTGTCAGAGTTCGTGAACTAAGCGATCTACAAGTAGACGTTTTTAAATTGTACATGTATGATGACCAGGAGGAAAAGGAAATGTTATGTAAATTGCACATTATCCCGACATCTCAGAGACAGGTTGTGTTTTCTTTTCCTGTTTAGTGGCATGTATCTATTATTTACGCAATTGAACAACAAGGCTAGGTACACTAGATACCTGTTGTCAGTGTGCAACATCATTTGACTGAAAAGTAAAGCTGAGTTTCCTTTCTACATTCTAAAACATAACTGGGGCTAATTTAAGACATTTAAAAGAAAAACTGATATATCCAGGTACAAAATACGGTGGAATGACCCTAATGGCAAAGAAAAACACTAACAGAAATCCTCTTCTTCCCTTGGACGGCGATTCCTTCGACTTGAAGGAAAATACACGCTCCTTATTGGTTAATTACCTCTACCATAATGCAGTTCTGCGCGTGGCTAACCCCCTCTGATTCTTTACCATATCCTAATTACTGTGTGATGGGTGCATACAAGCAGGCGCAAGGAAGTAAAATCCAGGAAAATCAAACCTTCTACATAACTTGAGGTAGTGCAAAGGTTTGAAAAATGTGCATTCAAGAAAAGTTTCGAACTTTTTGCCACGGTTTTTGCAAAGTTTTGGTCACAGTCTGTGTTCATGTAGCTTTAAACAGTGGGGCTCAATGTCCTAGGTTCATTTTGTCCCAGGATTCTTCAATGATATGAATTATAGAAATCACAAGATATCAGTATGTGGATTGTGCGGCTTGGATGAAATCAAAGCTCCTTGCAACGCAACAAGAAAATAATTGACAATACAGCTGCGACTTATGATGCAATTATCTGATATCCTGTCAATATCTTTAAATGGAAAAGTATATGTTCTGTGACATTTAATAGTCAAATAATTAGTTCCCAGAATCCTCTTTTTCAGTAGTATCAAGAGATAAACAAAGAGCACAAAGTCTACATGTAGTATGTTCATAACTTATTTAATCCCAGTAAGAATATAAATAATATATTTATGCTGCACATCAATTAGGAGACACAAACTAAACTTGACAGACACATTTAAATACCTGTACAATATAATATGCTGAATAAGTGACAACATGATAGTAATGCAGATACTGGTGCTGAGTCACTGCTTTTAAGATATTTTGTTCTTTTTTTTGTAGATATGTCTCTCAGGTTTGATTATAAATGGTCCTAAACGAGTGGAAGGGCAATTCAATGGCAATGGAAGTTATTCCTCAGACAGTCCATTGAAAGTTACAATCCTGGGAACCAGGTGGGGTTTTCCACGTTTTGATACTTCATTCTTTTCCCAAGAGTTGGCTATTCAATTGGCAAAATTTCCTGAGGTTAAAGTCACATTCCTGGTCCCACAAAATTCATGCAGCGAAACTGATAAGAGAGCAGCTGACAGTGATGGTGTTACCATTGCTGAAGTAGAGATACAACTAGGTCTTGATGACTCCACTGATTGGTTACGTTTCCCACCACAACACCTCACTACTGACATTGTAGTTGGTGTAGGTGAAAAGCTTGGAGGAGTTGCACAATGCTTCAAGGAACAACACCAGTGCAAAAACATTTTTGTGTCTTCTGAACTTTCCGTTGGTAAGTCAGAATTGATTTGTCAACTTAGTCGAATGGCTGATCTTCCTGTTAGTATTGGACCCAAGTCGAGTAAGATGTCTGATGAGCTTTCTTGTTCTCTTCGTAACGACGAGAAAGATCTTTTCAGTTTCACTCCAGGTATTCTCAGTGGGTTTTCTAATGTTAAACATGCAACTTCTGATGGAGCAAACTTTCGCATCGCAATCACTGGCAGTGGAAACCCTGATGATATGGAACGAGAGGGTCTTTACACTGCTGCTAAAGCAGTGGCAGAGTTGAAGGACAAATCCTACCACCTTTTGTATGTTGGTGCAGCAAACGGGAAGCATCAGCAATTTGTTAAAAACTTTGGCGAGTGTGGCATTTTTAAAACTCAGCTAACCATTCGAAGCTTTGCAAAGGATAAAGAAGAGCTGAGAAGGATGTTTTGTGGGGCAGACCTTGCCATCATGCCTTCAAGTGAACAGGGATTTGGAATGACGGGTCTTGCAGCATTGTCTTCTGGTCTGCCTGTCCTGATACACGAGGATTCAGGATTTGGTGAAGCCCTGAATGAGGTCAAATTTGGAACATCATCCACAGTGGATTCTGAAGATGCAAATGTCTGGGCCAGAGAAATCAAGACGAAGCGAAAAACAGAGAGGGAGATAAGGCTTCACGAGGCCGCATCACTGCGTTCTCATTATGGTGAGAAGTACAGCTGGGAAGAACAGTGTAGAGATTTGGTTCAAAGGATGTTGACCATGGTCTCTGGTATGAATTTGATGCTTCCTATCTTTTCAGTACTTTACAAATTTCAATCAATTATTCAATTTTGGGGGCTTTGTAAAACCATGGAAAATTAATGTGTAATTAATAGCCTGTCTGTGTACCGTAATATTAAATTTTCATAACTAATGAAAACATTCGTGTCTACCTGAGAAAAAGAACTTTAGAGTAAATGTTGGCTTAAAGATATGTATTTAATTTTCTTGTCTTAAAGCCAATGTTTTACCAAATTAAATTCATATTTTTGCACCACCATGTTTATATTTTACATCGTGTTTGCTTCAAGTCAACTGCTTCAATAGCACGAAATATATTCACACTAAATAAGAAGCAATGTATTTATCAATTTCTAATTGGAGACAATTCGATTCAATAGCTCATGGCTGTTCAATATCAAAAGTTCCACGACCTCAAGTCTTGCCAAGGTTGGGAAAAATAACAAAACTAGGCCTCCTGGTAAAATAAAGATTAGTGACTCCAAGCGACATCCATGGCATCCTGTTCCAGGCGTTGGGCTTGTTGGGGAATTGTGCATAAAACGGCGAGATTAAAAACCTGCCTATTTTATCTCTCACTGTTGATACCGCCGCTCTCCAATTAACTGAACACCTGGGACAGGCTTAGCATCCATCACCATGGAAAGAGTTTCAAGATTAGGAAGACGTAAGACATTGCCTACGAAAAGATGATAAATTTCCCTTGGAATTTCAAATTTGCAAAATTTTGGTCTTTCATCCCATACTGAAATAGTTGCGTGGTGTGTAGAAATTCCCCACCACCCTCATCACTGTTATCGCTGTTTCGCCATAGTCTTAATCGAGTGGAAACTAAACTGGGTTTGAACTTTAAACATCGTACGATTTTATTTTGTTTACACGAATACAAGTTTGACTAGAAAATAATGACAAGCAAATAGAAAACGAGTACAACAGTAATAAATGAAGGAGGCTAGGTAAGTAATAAAGAAATCCATAGCAAACACGACTGACATAAATTCCACCAGAATGATAAAGCTGGAACAGATCAGATTTTGGATACGCACGCGATGCACAATTTGCTCCATGAGATCTGCAAGCTATTTTGAAATAATGGAACCGTTCTTCAATTCGTAGATGTGCGCGCGCGAAAAATGTAAATTATTTGTCCGGTCGGGATATCGTGATTTGCATAGGGAACGAAGCAGTAGAAATCTAAATGCGGGACAGGACAAAGCATTTATAACAAATAATAGGGCCACATTCGCAGCGTGCTTATCTAATTAGGATAGAGCAAGGCTATATAAAAGGCGTTGAACAATTGTTCGTTACGAGCTTTGTCCAGTGTTGTAGTGTTCAAAGGTGGCAGATTCCCTTTTGCGTTCCGTAAACAAGTGCTTGATCACGTAATATTCGCGTAATGTCCATCAGCCACAGACCTGTAACTGGAAAACAGTTCCACGTGGCATTTAGCTCCAAGAACTCGAATCCGTAAAAGAACATCTAAGCGGATTCGAGTAATATAATTTTCTCAATAGGTTGTTGTAGGGTGGATGTCTTGATTTTCACTGTTACTCTTCGAATTTAAAAGCCATCTTTATCATTTCGTTGGACATTCAAGATACGGGCAAGCGGGCAGCAGCCTCGCGGATTGTTCGCATTAGCCACTAAGAAGATGTCGCCAATGACAAAATTCCTCCAGGGTCGATTCCACTTGCTTCTTTCTTGAAGGGATGGGAGGTACTTCTTGATCCACCTTCGCAAGAATATGTCCGCCAGGTACCGGATCTGTCGCCATCACTTGCGAGAGTATATTTTATCCTTCTGAAAGAACTTATGCAGTGCGTATTTGGCAGAATGATTGGGTGCTTTGCGGCGCATGGGATTGGTGCTTGTTATAATCGCCCACCGACGTACATCAGACCACCGATTTTCATTGGATCAAGCCTGTAGATCACACTTGATTTCTTCATCTGTGGTTTCCTCTCCTTTGCACTCTTCAAGTCGTCGCATCCCTTTACCATTCCTTGTTCTGTGAATCGTGACAACTCTTCTTCGAGACTTTGTCGTTGGACGAATTTGAGAACTTCTTTTTCTGCCTTGTCAATCTCGTCCACATTAACCCTTTGACGCCCAAGTGGACATATACGGCCACTTAATGGTCGTGCTCTTTGTACCACTTGTGACGTCATCAATTTAAATGTCATCAGACATTCTTGATGAGCAGATAGTAGTACTAGGCTAGGCCTCTCCGCACAATGGTCAGGTTTAGATATCGACGACATTCCGACGTCGCAAATCCAAAAACAACATTATCAGTTTTGGTGCAAAAACGGTGGTAAAATGGTCCACTACGCCAATGATTGATCAAGGTCCATTTCTAGGCTTCGCCCGTGACTAACATCCAACTTTTCACGGCAGCCAGAAAGAACATACAACGCAAAAGGTAGCCAGTGTAAAAGGGCCGAGAAAAACAGAAAGGAAAGGGGCAACAA